AACCTTTTAACTTATGATTTTAATATCCTAATGTGTTAGCATCTTAGTGTACGATAAAACCTTTCGAATAAAGACCATTAAAAATTAATAGTCCTGAAGGTGGTCTCTTTTTGGAGGTTGGATCAGCTAGGTCGCTCGTGGAAAGTTTTCTGAACAAGAATTCTTGCCTTACTAATCTTATATCAAGTCTAATTTGTATACATGGCTGACTAATTGTAACCAATATGAACAGCACTACTTTGTGAATTATTACGAGCAAACTATCTGGAAGTTTTATCTATAGAGAGAGTGTTTTATGTGGGATAAAGGGCACACCTCTTCTTTTATAAAATACGTTTAAAAATACATTTGCACGATCTTCTCTAAGCAAAGTGTTCGGTTTCAGTTCAGTGAATATGCCACAAATCCAGTTTTGGCAAATTCGGAAAGCAAGCCAACAACCTGTATTTCAATCTTGTTTGAATTTGTCAAGCTGGTTTTATGGCATATTAGTCAATTTGAATCTTCCCGCTTTGAGTAGATATGACCAATCAGAGATTCGTTGTTTTATTGCATTTAAAAACATGAATACAATCCTCCCTTGAAATTGCAAATAGAGTTTGTAACCTCATAAAAAGATAGAAATCTCTAAGTAGCATGCTCCAAGTGTGGAGTTGAACTCTAAAGATGAAATCTTGTGGAAAATATCATTTGAAAGGATTGAAGTTTCGGTTGAAATGCTTTCTTTTGTAGAATGGCTGTTAGTTAATCGGGTAATATGCTTTTAGAGGAAAGAAATTATTTTAAAAATTGCAAATATATATATGTAGTAATCCCGATGTGGAATGTACTGGGCAGTCGTGGTAGTGGGTGCGTGATGGGATTCCCGTACGGTGACAGCAAGGAACAGAGGCAGGTCTAGATGGTAGCTCCAAGAAGTAGAGGTAGACCACGGACGTAGATTGTCGCGGATGCCCTAGCCGACCGTATAACGGCGTCGCTCTGAAAACAACTGCCTTTGTCTCTTTTCTGGGCCTTTTATATTATTGGACGCCCGCATATGTGGTGATTCCTGATTGGCTACTGTAATCACGCCACTTTCTGGCGCCGGGTTGTTTTCGTCTGGTCTACCTCGTCCTCTTTGTTTTATTTGTCACTTCCATTGTTCGATACATATTTTTATATATAGATATGGGTTTATATAATAAATATCAGAAGAAGGTTGTGAACTATCTAACTCAAAATATACTACAGAATGTGCCCCCGGTGATGAAGGTTTGGTTGGGGGAATGACATGTAATGAATGATGACCTAACAAACCTATTATAAAAAAAATAAAATAAATAATTTGTATACAAATTAATTAAAATTATTATTATTCTACAAGTTAAAACGAGAAAGATGTTGTAATGGTGGTGTATCAATGAAGTAAAATCAAGGTTATAAAAATAAAAACGCATAAAATTAATGATAAAAGATTAAGAGAAAGTATATAATACAAAATGGTAAATATGGTAAAATGAATCGTACAAGGAAAATAATATCTTGTTGCATAAAAGATGAGAGGAAAAAAAATGAAGTTAGTTTATTGACTGAACGTATAATGTGACGCTAAGGTTGAAAAAGGGAAAGGGGGTATCTGAGCATGTTTCTGCAAAGTAGTATCCCAAGCATTCTGCAATGCAATGCGAACTTGTTTAAGTGAGGCATTGTTTTCATTAACAGAAGGCCCAAGATATTCCGTCTGCATCATTAGCTCAGACAGTGAAGAGGTGGGAAGATTGCTGGAGGTAAAAGGGAGAGGTAGAGGTAAGAGAAATCCCTGTTGTCCATAATGATTGTGCCCGGTTGAATTATGAAAAAAAAAGTGAAAAGTTGAAAAAATGGTGAATTGATATGATGAGTCGGGCGATGAGAAAAAAAAATAAAAAGATCGCGCTGGATATCCTGAACTCACTATTGGGAATGGTATAGCGAGGAAGAATTGTTCCAGTCGGATTAATCAATGAAAAAAAAAACAAAAATGTTCGGCGAACTGGAATCCCTTGGAAGGTAGTTGGAGGTTTAAATGATGCGGAAAAGGAGAGGTGGGTGTAAGAGATTTATTGCTGTCAATTTTGATTGTGTCCGGCTTGTGTGGTGAAAAGAAAAAGTTGAAAAATTAAAAAATGATGAGCCGGACGATGAGAGAAAAAAAAATCTAACTGGGTCCCCTGAGCTCACTGTTGGGTAATGTACAGCGAGGAAGGGTCTTCTAGTTAGTTTAATCAATAAAAAAAAGAAAATGGTTGACAAACAATAATCTCTTGATGGATGTAAAAAGTTGGGAGGAAAGGTTCATGGGATAGATTTAGAGGTTGTAAGGGAAGCCTCAAAAATAACATTTTGAAAACTATTAAGAAAAATAAAATGATAAATGTTTTATCTGTTTAAGAAATATTATAAATATTGTTAGGTGTAGTTTTTTTTAAATGGTGCCTAAAATAGTTGAAGTTGTAAAATGCTAAGTATAAACATGATGAGAAAAAAAAATTAAAATAAAATAAAAATATTAAAGGTAATAATATATAAAGGGTTGATTGGTAGTTGAAGGCATTAATAAACAAAATTATATTATCGATTAATAGTGAAATGTTTTATCTACATCTGTAAGTTAAAAAACAAAGTCCAACACCACAAAACTATGTAAGCTGTAAGTCTATTTACAATATATGAGAGAAAATTTAAAAGAAAACAAAAATATTCGTTCCTGAAAAAAGGGAACATATTTACACACAATGTCTAGGTGTAGGTGCAAGATTAATGATGTCTTTCTAGTTTGGCCTACGGGGAGGTAATGTGGCCCTATGTCGCTTTGGTCCGGTCTGAGAAGTTGGTCTTTGCCAGATCTTCCCGATTATATTATGTGAGACCAGACAGGAAGCGATCTTGATCCCTAAAATGATGTCATTGTAGTGGAAGATGGGATTTTAGGTACATGTAGTATGTAGTGCATGTCTTAGGCGCTAAAAAGATTGCAGAGCGTTTTATGCAGTTGGTCTGCAAAATTTTTAGTTGAGCCTACCCAAACGCCGGCTTGTTACGTTTGGGGAACATCATTTAAAATATTAATTTAACAGATCTTTTCTCCATGTAACATTACGTTACATATGGGGAAATGAGAGGCGACAAATTTGACAAAAAAGAAAAAGAAAAGTTAAAGCCTTTTTGATTCCTAACAAGGGAGTTGGTAATGTAGTGTAAGTTCATATTAAATTGTACCCAAAAGCCCTATAATTGAATGATTGACAGACAAGAGTGTTGAAGATTGGAATATTGTCGTGGCGATGGGCGCCATTTTGGGGATTTAATTGTCCTTTTAGGAGGCCAATATGGCGTCTCCTTTGGTCTCATGTATAGGATCGATAACATTATAAAAATAAGATTTGCTATAAAAAGGGATTAATTACTTAACTAGTGTATAAATAAATGTGTTGTGATCATGCGAAATGTGTTAATGGAATATGGGATATGCGAGAGGAATTAAAATTGAGGTGAACAATGTAGAAAGTGCGAAATAAAAATGTATGTTTGAACTGGTGACACTCAGGTGGCGCGAGAAATTCGAGCTTGTGCAGCCTTGTATAAGCAAACCGACCATCGCGGCGGTGGGTGTCGTGTTTTGTTTTGATAGGACGGCAATATGATAGCTATTTATGTAACATGGCTTGTTTGTCAGACCTTCAGAACCTATATTTTCGCTAATTGTATGCGAATAGTTGGGGGGACAAATGATTAAAAGGTTCGGAAAATCGATGAGCTATACTTTTTTCTATTGGACTAAACAAGTTGGGATCTAAATGTCGGAAAGGATCTATTATTCTATTTATTTTTAGGGGTTCTATATATATATATATATATAATTTGGGTAGTGAAATATAAAGGACCTCTTCGTTATAATATTGTAATTTATTTACATGTACAGTATCGCTATCATTACCTGTAATCCTATTGGGTCTATTTATACGTACGACATTATCAGAAATTATTTCAGTAATTTTATATGGACCTGTAAAGTAGGGTACTAACTTACCGCTATTTGGATGATGATACGCCTTTACTAATACTAAATCTCCTGTATCAAAGTGTGAATTTTTATGTTTGTTATCATATTTAAGTTTCTCTTTGTCGTGTCTGTCATTTGTACGTTGTATTGCTAGTTTTCTACTTTCTATTATATTGGGATAGGGGTTTAGGTGGTTATTTAAGTCTAAGGGGATTATATTATACATTAAAAATACGGGGGGAAATCCAGTTATCGTATGGGGGGTATCGTTATATTTATTAGTTACTATCTTAATTAACTTAGTCCAGGAGGTTCCTGGATTCTCTAAGTTCAGTAACCTCAGCTTCCCGGTGAGTGTCGCGTTAAGACGCTCGCATAAACCGTTAGCTTGAGGGTTATTTGCAGTGGTTAGTAGAGGCTGTATCCCGTTTTTTATTAAGAATCTCCTGAACTTTGGGGAAGTAAATGCAGGTGCCCGATCCGAAAGAAGGCGTTTTGGGCGGCCACACTGCAATACCTTTTTGAGACAGTGAATGTATGTGATTACATTAGTTGACTTACTGGGGAAGGTCCATGTATACCGACTTAGGTGATCTACAATTACGTGTAAATATGACTTAGAATTACCGTATTTAGAAAAACCTGAAATAGTGTCTATAGATAACATATCGTAGTGTTGTAAAGCTATAGGGGGGCGTTCTAATCTACCATATAATGGACCCTTCGGTTTCTTTATAAGTTGGCATGTGGGACAGGACCTATTATACTTAACTATAGATTTGGTCATTCCACACCAAGTATATTGTGTGGAGATGAGCCTAATCATTTGGGATACACCAGGATGGTTATATTCTAAATGTACTTTATTAATTAGCGTATGTTGTAAGGAAGGGGGAACTATAATCTTGACAATACCTTTACGTTTGATTGTATGGAGGCCATCTATATTCGTTTTGATAACTGTAGATGGAGGTAATTGGGGTTGCTTTTCTATTATTTGGGTGGTCGTGAGAAAACCACATAAAGGATTGCGAGACAGTAGGTCTGCCTCGTACTGCGTTTTACCTTTTATTTATTTTATATCGTATTCGTATGCGGACATCTTTAAGCTCCACCTAAAAAGTCTACCCGTTGGGTTTTTTATGGTTTTTAACCATTGTAATGCATGGTGGTCCGTAAAAATTGTGAACCTTACACCTGCGAGATAGATGCGGAATTTTTCCACACTATCTATCACAGCAAGGCATTCCAACTCTGTGATGGTATAATTTTTCTCGTGGGGTCGGAGTGCTCTGCTGTAATATTGCACGGGGTGTAGAGTGCCGTCTGGATGTTGTTGTTTTAGGATGCCAGCTATTCCCTGAAGTGAGGCATCACAGAATAGTTGACAGGGTAACCCTTCTTTAAAGAGGTGTAGTACCGGTTTTGTGGTCAGGCATTCCTTTAGAGTGTCAAATGAATGTTGGCATTCTGCATCCCAGTGCCATGGGGTATCTTTCTTAAGTAGATTATTGAGGGGGTTCCTAATGCGGGCGTGATCTTTTAGAAATTTATTATATACATTGATGGAGCCTAAGAATGATTGGAGGGATTTAACACTAGTGGGGACCTTAATGGCATTAATTACATCTAAATTTTTTACTAATGGAGTGTATGTGCCTGATGATATGGTATAGCCTAAAAATTCTATTGTAGTTTTAAAGAAGTTACACTTATTATAATTTAATCTAAAATTTTCCCTATTACACATATAAAAAAATTGCTGTAAGTGATCTAAATGTTCTTCTATGGAATTTGAAAAGATAATGAAATCGTCGAAATAATGTGCTATAAAACCTAACCTATTTCTTTGCAATATCTGACTGACTGCTCGCTCATACACCTGGGGTCCTATTTTAATCCCGTATGGTAATCTTTTGAAATTATACTGACCCTCTAACGTGACAAAAGATAATAAATTTCTATCAGGGGGACTTATTTCGATGGACCAGTATGCTGATGAAAAATCGGCGCGGGAGTAAATTTTGGCGTTGGCTAATTTATCTAAGATATTCTCTATGAGCGGAAGGGGGTGAACATCGGGGAAAAATATTTCATTCAGGCGGCGGTAGTCTACGCAAAATCGTTTTGTCTTATCCTTTTTGGTAACTAAAGTAACGGGAAATGAATAGGGGGGGAAAGAAGGCTCTATAATATCATATTCTAGCATTTTCCCTACTTGTTCTTGTATTTCACGTTGATCTGAAAGAGATGTACGATACGGTCTGAGTGCAATTATTTTGTCTGAATTTGTCCTAATATTGATAGGGGGAATTTTCAATTTTGGGATGTTATATTTGTTAGTAGAAAAAATATTTGAGTAATTCTTAATAATATTCATAAAAGTTAAAGGGATATCAGTCCTAACACATAAATTACAAGAATCATTAAAAATTTTACATTGATGTTCAGAGGGATATAGTGGGGGTAATAAATATAAATGGGGAAAATGAGCTAAAGTTTGGCTGGGTGCATTTTTGTCACAATTGGTAGAGGTCTTGTTCAAGGTAATGGGACATGGTATAGGATGGACATTTTCCCCTTGCAACAATGGAGAATGTGAGTTAGGCATGTTTTTTAGATGACCCATATTGGGCGGATTGTGGTTACTCTCTCCATTATTACATGGGGTTACATAGGTTATATGGTACCATTTCTTAGACAAAGGAGCATCACATTGATAAATAGAATGATTATATAAATTTAAGGTCAAACAAAATTGACTAATGGAATTTAATGATAGTATACCAAAAGGTAATAAATTATCTACAGGATGTACCAGGTAAATTGGGAATTTCAACAATGGTATTTTAACTGAAATTTTTTGCAAGTAAAAATTAAAATATCCGAATGAAATTTGACACAGTAGTAGATAAAAGGATATAGTTTTTATTTATTCAATGTAGTTTCCATTATTAGCTACAACAGTCTCGAGGCGAGTGCGGAATGAAGCACAGGCCTTGGCGACGATGACCTTGTCCATTTGGGTCATCACCGTGTGAACTGCTTTCTTTACAGACTGGATGGTGGTATGAGGAGCTTTGTTGACATCTCTCTCAACAACGCCCCACACATAGTAGTCGAGGGGATTGCAATCTGGAGAATTAGGGGGCCAAATATCAGGACCCCAGTGACTAGGGACGTTAAGTGTCAGCCACGATTGTGTCTTTTTTGCCTTATGGGCTGGAGCTGAGTCCTGTTGGAAGACATACTTCCTTCCTGCGGCCACCATGTCCATCCAAGGCTTCACAACGGTCTCCAGAACATTGATGTAGGTGTCAGCGTTCATCCTAAGGCCCTTCTCAAAGAAATGGGGAGGCATGACATCACCTTCACTGCTGATAACGCCAAGGACCATTACGGAGGCAGGAAATTTCGTGTGCATCACGACAGGTATCTCTGAGGGGTCTTTACAGATCCAGCGATCATTCCTGGGATTTACCTTTTGGTCCACGTCAAAGTTCTTTTCGTCAGAGAAGAACCTTAGCATGCCAAAAGAGTCGTGTTTCAGGTTGTTGAGGAGGGCAGCAGCCTTTCCTTTTCTGTTATTCTTCATATTCTCAGTCAGCAACTGACCTTTCCGAAGGGCATAAGACTTGAGACCAAGGTCCTCATGGATAGTTCTGACAATTGTCATAGAGCCAACGTCCATTTCCTTGGCTATGGCCCTCATGCTCTTCCCAGGGTTTCCATCAATCTTCTCCTTGACATTTTTGACAAATTCTTCGCCTCTTACCCTGTCCGATCGACGCGAGTGCTTTTTCCTTGTAGCTATCCCCTCTTTGTTACTGTCGGCCTCATCAAACTGCTTCTTGACACGATAAATAGTGGTTTTGGGCAACTTAAGAAAATCCACTATCTCTTTGGGGCTCCTTCCGGCGCGCAGAGCAACGATGATGGCAGCTCGATTTTCAAATTCTCGGTTACTCTTCATCACTACACTGCGCACACATGTACTGTTGCATTTTACATGAATATGGCTACGTAATGAAAAAAAAAAAAAGTTTTTAATCTCAAGTAGTTTTTGTTTTATGGACTGTCAAAGTTAGTCCCAATTTACCTGGTACACCCTGTATTATATAAAATTTAATTGATTTTGTAATTTTTCCTATGGTAGTGGTCAAAAATGTATATCCTATCGAATTTATTTGAGTAGATATGGAATTGATTAATATATGACATGGATATAATTTTAAAGTATTAGATAAGTTTTTACTAAGATGGTTAAAAAAATATTTAAATTAATTATGTTAATAGAGGCTCCTGTGTCTAAGAGGAATGGGCAATAAAAATTATTAAAAATTTTAGGTTTACATAGAATATTGGATAGTTTAGGGGCGAAAATTGGGGTTTTCGTTGCCTTGTGGGGTGCGAGAAGACCTGGGGGCCGGCACGGGAAGGTTGTGGGCGCCATTTTGTTCCGGTGGGAAATAATGCGCCGTAGGTTGGCCGTGGTAGGCCTGCTGCCTGTAGGGTCGCCTGTTCATGGAACATTCACTGTTCCAGTGATCACCTTGGCAGTATTTACATGGTGAGGGTGGTCTCCTGGCACCAGAAGGGTATCTTGGAGTATTGTTTGTTGAAAAAGGATTGTAGTTCCTTCCCCTAGAAGGAGTTCCGGTATCACGGTGAAAGGCACTGGTGTGGGTAACACCTTGAAATGGTTCGGATGGAGTAGGGAGTGAACTGGTCCCTTTTATTCTAGTCATGGTAGAGTACCATTCGGTCAGGGTTTTAGGGGCTATGGCCCTCATGAGGCGCTGATCACTGGCCTGGAGGCCTTCCGTTAATGCCTCTACTATGATGGGATTGGTTAGACCCAGTTGTAATCCCATAGTTATTTTTTGACGGTAATATTCTCCTAATTGGATCTGATTAGTTAATTTAAAAGTTAAAAATTTGGTGAAAGTGACCTCGGATTTTCCGGGGTAGAGGTCTATGAGAGTTTGTTTTGCTTGACTGTATGGCAGAGAGGCCAGATTTAGTTCGTTGTAGAGGGAGAGGGGCTCACCTTTGAGTAGTGTACGGAGCCGGGTTTGCAGTGTGGTGTCATCTTGCGGTCCCTCGCTCGTCCGCTCGAGTTGCTGGATGAAGTTGCTTGCTGCGTAGGATCCGTCGAAAGGAGAGATGAGGGCTTCCTCCACACGAGGCACGGCTATTCCCCGAATGGCGTCTGTTAGGCGGCTTACTAGGTCTTCGCAGTGGGGCTGCATGTTGGTGAGGGCATCCGCGAAGTATTCGTCTCCAGCCTCCGTCATCCTCTGCATGTTGCTGTCCTCAGTCATCCTGTCGACTTTAACGCGTTCTGTAGTAATCCCGATGTGGAATGTACTGGGCAGTCGTGGTAGTGGGTGCGTGATGGGATTCCCGTACGGTGACAGCAAGGAACAGAGGCAGGTCTAGATGGTAGCTCCAAGAAGTAGAGGTAGACCACGGACGAAGATTGTCGCGGATGCCCTAGCCGACCGTATAACGGCGTCGCTCTGAAAACAACTGCCTTTGTCTCTTTTCTGGGCCTTTTATATTATTGGACGCCCGCATATGTGGTGATTCCTGATTGGCTACTGTAATCACGCCACTTTCTGGCGCCGGGTTGTTTTCGTCTGGTCTACCTCGTCCTCTTTGTTTTATTTGTCACTTCCATTGTTCGATACATATTTTTATATATAGATATGGGGTTATATAATAAATATCAGAAGAAGGTTGTGAACTATCTAACTCAAAATATACTACATATATATATATATATTATTAATAATTTTAAATTTTAAAAGGTTGGGTTGTTAGAGAGAACCTGGCAACAATGGGTCTAAAAATATAGTTAAATAGATCTTTCTCTGATAAATACTAGACCCCATTCAACTTGTGAAATCATAATTTTAGATTATAAAGAAATAGAAGAAAGTTCGGACCTCAGCCATGGTGGTGCTTTTTAAAATCCTTAACCAATATAATAATAATTACTGGTATTAAGATGCACTTTTTTTTAATATCTAAGATAATGATCGGGACAAAAAAAATGCGAAGTCTGGCCGCTGGTGTTGCAAAAGCTCAAGAAATTGATCATGGCGGCACCACAGCTGCAAGATCTAGCGGCTGGTTTTAGAGACCGCGTGTTGCAAAAGCTCAAGAAATTGATCAGAGCGGCACCACAGCTGCAAGATCTAGCCGCTGGTTTTAGAGACCGCGTGTTAAAAGCTCAAGAAATTGATCAGAGCGGCACCACAGCTGCAAGATCTAGCCGCTGGTTTTAGAGACCGGGTGTTGCAAAAGCTCAAGAAATTGATCATGGCGGCACCACCGCTGCAAGTTCTAGCCGCTGGTTTTAGAGACCGCGTGTTACAAAAGCTCAAGAAATTGAACAGAGCGGCACCACAGCTGCGAGATCTAGCCGCTGGTTTTAGAGACCGCGTGTTGCAAAAGCTCAAGAAATTGATCAGAGCGGCACCACAGCTGCAAGTTTTAGCCGCTGGCTTCAGAGACCGCGCGTTAAAAGCTCAAGATATTGACCAGAGTGGCACCACAGCTGTAAGATCTAGCCGCTGGTTTTAGAGACCGCGTGTTGCAAAGCTCAAGAAATTGATCATGGCGGCACTATAGCTGCAAGATCTAGCCGCTGGTTTCAGAGACCACTAGTTAAAGCTCAAGATATTGATCAGAGCGGCACCACAGCTGCAAGATGTAGCCGCTGGTTTCAGAGACCGCGCGTTACAAAGCTCAAGATGTTGATCGATGCGGCACACTACGATCTTGCCACCAGAGGCCACACGTTGCGGAAGTTCAAGCACAGCTCCAAGATTACTTATAACCCAGGTTCCTAGACCGCAGAATGCCAACTACATGTTGAGCTGGCGTTGGCCCAGCTTTATTTGGGCAAGTACAAGTCACGTGCTATTCCATATTAATGTACGACCCCCAAAAAAAATGTTGGTCATATTTATTTTTTCATAGTGAAATATTAAGCCTTTCAAAATAGTGCTATTTAAAAAAATCAGAGTAAAAAAATAACCTTCTAAGAATCGAACCTTAAACCTTTTATCTTGCGAGACATTGCACCATCCTCCTGCCCCGCCAGTATGTAGTCCTTTCGTTATGGAGAAATGGGGGGTCAAAGGCTAAATCTTCAAATGTACCGTATAAATAGAAGTACCCGGAGGTCCAGGGGGAATTATTCTTAAGTCATTTTTCTTTCAATTGCGGCACACGAATTAATTCAAGGTAAAATTGTAAAGGTATTAAAATTATAAAGGTCGTTCACAATAAGTAGCTTTTTGTGCGTGCGAAAAAAGATTTATAATTTTAACACTTAAATTGATTAGGTGACAATTTACATTATGGAGATATGTGTTAGGATTTTATAAGTTGTTTTATCATAGATTTATATATTTGTATTTTGACCAGATGACCGGACGGTTTTACATGTATATAATTGGTTTTAAATGATGTAAATTAGTTAGTCATGAAAGGAAATTAAAAGTGTTGATTTTATTAGAGGTGTTAGTGTTTACTCTGCTCGATTATAGACTGGGAAAGAATTGGTTTCCTAACAGGTTATGGGCCCAGCACGCTTCCACTGCGCCGAAGAAAGTAATTAGTTTAGCCCAAAAAGGTAAAGAAGAAAAAGCTGAAGTTAAAGCTAAGAAGGTAAAGAAGAAAAAAGCTGAAGTTAAAGCGAAGAAGAAGAAGAAAATATTTAAGTTATATTTTTTGTCAGATTTGCATAACTAGAAATATCAATGGCTGACGAGTTGAGAGTACCACAGCCGATGGGAGAACATCACGACCGATGGGAGAATACCACGGCCGATGGGAGAATACCACGGCCGATGGGAGAACATCACGACCGATGGGAGAATGCCATGGCCGATGGGAGAATACCACAGCCGATGGGAGAATACCACGACCGATGGGAGAATACCACGGCCGATGGGAGAACATCACGACCGATGGGAGAATACCATGGCCGATGGGAGAATACCACAGCCGATGGGAGAATACCACGACCGATGGGAGAATACCACGGCTGATGGGAGAACATCACGACCGATGGGAGAATACCATGGCCGATGGGAGAGTACCACAGCCGATGGGAGAATACCACGACCGATGGGAGAATACCACGGCCGATGGGTGAACATCACGACCGATGGGAGAATGCCATGGCCGATGGGAGAATACCACAGCCGATGGGAGAATACCACGACCGATGGGAGAATACCACGGCCGATGGGAGAACATCACCACCGATGGGAGAATACCATGGTCGATGGGAGAATACCACAGCCGATGGGAGAATACCACGACCGATGGGAGAATACCACGGCCGATGGGAGAACATCACCACCGATGGGAGAATACCATGGTCGATGGGAGAATACCACAGCCGATGGGAGAATACCACGACCAATGGGAGAATACCACGGCCGATGGGAGAACATCACGACCGATGGGAGAATACCATGGCCGATGGGATGGTACCACAGCCGATGGGAGAATACCACGACCGATGGGAGAATACCACGGCCGATGGGAGAATACGAAGAACTGAGGAGAGAAGACGAAGAGGAAGGCCAGAATGAAAATATAATCCCAAGGGGGTCTTCAAGAGTTGCGGCTTGGCGGAGGGAGTGTTGCAGATATTCTAACTGGGGGAATTGGAAGAATTAAACTGACCGGGATCTTGGCCACTCTAGGGCTCCGATGAGGGTATGAAAACAACTTTAAAATGGGGGGGCATTGTTAGGATTTTATAAGTTGTTTTATCATAGATTTATATATTTGTATTTTGACCAGATGACCGGACGGTTTTACATGTATATAATTGGTTTTAAATGATGCAAATTAGTTAGTCATGAAAGGAAATTAAAAGTGTTGATTTTATTAGAGGTGTTAGTGTTTACTCTGCTCGATTATAGACTGGGAAAGAATTGGTTTCCTAACAATATGCAATTTACATTATGGAGATATGCAATTTTATAAATCCGTACTATCATCGTGTAGTGCCATCTAGGTCGTGAAACAAACTTTTATTTTATTTAGATTGTCTCTTCTAGAAGATTCTATATTGTCTTCTCCAAACTTTTGTATGTCATCTTACATGTCCATTTGATTTTGAGAATTCTTTTAAAACACCAGATGTCAAAATAGTTCATTTTCCGCTCCAGTACTTTGGAAATACGTCCAAAACTTACATCCCCATACAGGGAAACTGATACTTGAGCTTCTTTTTCCTCTCTCTCAGTTTCATATTTGTATATCTTTCTTCTTAAATGCTCTGTTTTACTTCTCCAAAACGGTAACTTTTGCCTTTGCAATTCTTATCTCGACTTTTTTTTACCTCATTTATAATGTTTTTAATATACTTATACTACTTACTTGTTCAATTTCCATGCCTTCAATATTTATATATTTTGCATTCTTTAGATGAATTGTTATTGAAAGTCATGATTTTTGAGAGCCAAGCAAATTTGATGAGCGCGTTTTTAAGAATGATTACAGGTAGCCAGCAATATTACAAAATTGGTGTTGTTTGTTTTAATAGTGTTGTAAAAGAAACTTTATCGCTACATCCAAGAACTCCCACGGCATATCTTGAGAAGCACAAGCTTTTAAGAGTAAAATTTCAAGGAAATGATTCTAGATGTCAATTCACACTTTACTGACTCAGTAACTCACACTAACTACGCCTCTGTTGTATGGCAACAATTTGTGTGGCATTATTCAGAAATAAATGTTAGCAAAGAAATCCATTCATACACCCATCCCTATAATAATTGCTGTTGTTAAAGCCAAATTTGGTTTGATAGTCAAGGTACATTGTACGTCCAAGTTGGCTTTCCTTGTATTTCATTTGCCTGTCCCTTTTTGGCTCCATAATTTGAACCAGTGATCCACAAAGGCAGTACATATCATTGACATTTCTAACTTTGAGTGTATCTCTCCTGAGGTTATTATTCAAATGGCTAGCCCGGGCTTGTGGAGTGTACAGAAGTCACCAACTACCCTGGTTGTCTCTTGGGTTTAACCCCATACAACCACCATTTATTTTAATAGCTTATCTAATAAATTCCTTGATTAAGTAATAAAATGAAGATTAAATAAACAATGTGATAGTTATGGTGTTTCTGTGGAGTTCACTGTTAATTGATAAAAGTGTAGAGAGAGATAGTATAGATGATAAATTTACATATTACAGTGAACTGACGCTGTGTTCAAAGTAGTCATTTTTGTAAATCTCCATTTGGAAGACCAAAGTGGTGTGTGTCTAACTCTATACTTTGAAGACTTTTGTGGGTCTACCTAATTTCAAGAATATTGCAATTACAAATGTCAAGGAAACTTTAGTCCTATAAGGCCAAAAGCTGTGAGAGTAGAAGTGGCTTAGTCAGAACATTCAGTTATATAATTAGATGCTTCTTTCTTAATGAATTGTGGTTTTTGTAAAGACAGGATTTTGGAATAAATCCAGATTGGTTCTGCTGAACACATATTTCTCTATTTAACAGATTTAACTATTTTCTTTATTTATAACCAACAAGAATCCATATATTTCCTATAAATATTTTTAATTTTGTGTAGATCACACATACATATTCTCACACTTTCTCAAACTGCCACCCACTTTGTACAATATACATTTTGTAACATTTCCTGAAGTAGTTTCAGTCATTTTCTTTAAGGTTTTTTTCAACTATAGTATAAAACCTGGAAAAAGTGACTGAGCATATAAGCAAACTACTTGAGTGGCCACTTTTGTGAGATCAGAAATGACTTAACCACCAAGTAGTAGCCTGGTGTCCTAACATCCTCTCAAGGGAAGAGGTTCTACTGTGGTTTTTATATTTTGATAAAGATACAATGTTAATGTTCTAGTACAGCCCCTGAGTAACCAACTTTTCAAAATAACTTGATATCGGAAATACCCCAATATCTTTATTGAGAAAAACCATACCTCTGGGAGAGACCATTTGGTGAGAAACCACCTAAGTGAGCAACCACTCTTGTAGAATCTCAAATAACTTGGTCCAATCCAACCTTTGAGAACACCTCCATGTTTTTTTAGGCTAGGGTCGCTCAGCCATGGGAGCTACTGTAAAGAGAGAGCTAGGGTAATGTGCTGGGAGAGATGCCACCAAAGGATGAAGAAGAGGTACCGGAGTGAAATAATACAAACAGTGTTTTATTCCCATGCACACACACCATAGAGGAGGGAAGAATGGATGCCCCTCGTTGTAGTGCTTTGGCAATAGAAAAATAGAAGAGCTCTGAGTCAATTGCAGCGGTTTCAAGAGCTGCAGGAGCTGGCGATGGTAGGGAAATCTGCATAGTTGGCATGGGCATGTATACACTATGTACAACATATACAACAGGTTAGCTAAGGGGAGAGATAACGGAGGAAAAAACAATATCACAAGGTGACAACAAGGGTGGGTGTGAATCAACAAAAGTGCCTTCTCTGTCTATGAGCAACTCTCAGGATCGACAACAGCTCTCGCAACAAGGCTCAAACAAGGTGGGAGAACTAAGGAGACACACCTGATATATCAAAATTATAAACACCTCTTGGTAGGCCGCTGAACAGGCAGCTGGCATGTGTTAGAGAGCTTAGAATCTACGCTTCTTTTCATATAGCTAAATATTGGGAGAGGAGAGAGGGGAAATGTATTTATTTATTTTCTTCTTATTTCAAAAGAGGAGAGGAGAGGAAAAAGTGATGATGAGAAGAAAGGTTTGATGGCACACACACACACACCATTTCAACGGCCCAATGAGAGTGGTGGGCTGAGAGAGAGGGGAAAAAAGGAGATATAGATGATGATATACATGGCACATACATGAAGCTATCTTTCCTTCCAAAAAATGGCTACATTTAGAAAGAAATAACTCTGAATCTCCAATGGAATGTTATTCGACAGCAGGTGCTGGCCCCACCAAAGGGAATGCCAACAGGATGGCAGTAGGTTTGTTTGGTAGAGGAATTAAAAACCTAGATAGATAGCACACAGAGACACAGTTTATCACAATGAGTGGAACACCTGCCAACATTCACTGGGTCACCTACTAGAGAGGAAATAAAAGAGGGAGGGAGGGATATACAGCGAGAGATATAGCAGACATATGCAGCGCAACAAACACTCGCGCCGGGTTCAAAATTTGCACAGAATAGGTAAAATCTCTGACAAAGAGTAAGCCAGGAAAAAAGATATGATGGAACTCTCTTTATAACCAGTTGGTGTAATAATCCAAAAACAGTTCATCTTTTTTTTTTATATAATAAATAAAAATTTGTAAACATTTATATATAATACATTGTATTAAATGCTATATTTTAATGTGTATAGACATGTATTCTTTTAAATATTCATCCATCCATTCGTCTGTCATTTGGAATAAACTACTCCGGCCAACAAAGGCTGGTTATTGGATGTGTACTTCGTTGACATGTTGTCCATCTAGGTAACCTATCCATGAGATGTTGAAGTGGATAAAAAGTTTAGCGGAACCTGCGCTACAACTATTGCGTGGTAACGCCACTTGCACTATGTTTATATTTATATATTTACATATTTATATAATATTTTTTCAACTCCTATTTTACAAAACAACAAAATAAAAAGGTTTGTTAGAGAAGTTAGATATTCTATAAAACCGGGTATAGATATTTCTATTTTCATAAAGCCTAAGCAGCATATGTAGATGTAACAAATATGCACGCTCTAATAGACGAGTGAAGTCTAAAAAAAGGCTTTTGGGGTGCATGTGTTAGAGAAATGTTTTTTTCTGGATGTTTTTAAGAAAGTTAGAATTCTATAAAATTAGATAAAGAGATACTCCTATTTGCAAAAAACCTATGCAGCATATGCAGATGTAACAAATTTGCATGCTGTATTAGACGAATGGCATTTTAAAAAAAAAGGCTTTTGGTGCATGTGAAATTGCCCAAAACTTTTTTTTTTTGTGGACAATTCTATTAAGGCATTTAAACCATGAAAATGCAAACATTCTGTCTGGGAAATGTCTAAATTGTTTCTGATGTGTAGATAAAGGAGGAGGGGGAGAAGTGAGGCAAACATTGAACACCACGTATATATAGGGCAGGTGCAAGCGAATGTATTCTAGAAGGTAGAGAATACTTTGATGGTTTGTCATTGCTTATACCTCGCACCGCTTGGACTCAACCAACACAATTCCAACTGAAATAATTTCTCTAAGCAAGTAGATCTTTCCCAGTGTGCTAGAAAGGAACATTCTAGCGTGAGAGAGCACCAGGTAGAGAGTGCCTGACTAGGTAGGTACGGGTCCTGCAGCCGCCAAAATAAATACAACAGCTATGTACAGACAGGGAGGAAGAGAGATATGTACAAGGACTGCTACATGTTGTAGGCCACGTAGATGGGGTCCAGGTGGTCGGCCAGGAAGCCATCGCGGAGGTGCATGCGCTGCTTCTCCCCCCGGGAGTTGATGGGGACCACCCCAGGGTCCACCACTACCACCACCCCGACAATGAGGTGGTGCTCCTCCAGCGCGGTGTTGGTCACTAGGGGCACCAGGTCCAGAGCCTCCCCCTCACTGCCGTCCAGCTCCACCACCACCACTAGCAGGTTGGTCCATGTGAACACCGCACTGCACCACACATCCTTTAGTGGTCATTTCTTTTATAATGTGAGCAAATACACTTTCAAAGAATTCCTCTCTTTAAAGTTCCCTCCAGCACGAGTCAGGAGAGAATAGACTACAATGATTCTGAATGCCTTTAATACAACTGCTGTGTTTTTTCACCTGTGTTTTTGGGCTTGTGTGTTTTGTTTGTTTATGTCTATGTTAAAAGATTTTAAAAATTGGTATGATGTGAAAAGTTTCTGATAAACGAATGCTCTGCCAGAAGAACAATTAATTAAAATAGTTGGGAGA